TCTCATTTAGAAACTCATTGTTTCTTAGATTTATATGTTCAAAATGTCATAAACTGTCCGAGTGCTTTCTTGTCTTCTGTATGCAGTCAGATAATCTATAATAATAATAATTTATGCATTTGAGGAAAAACATATTCGTTAAATATCCTTATCTGGCTAAACCACATAAGTAGTTTTAAATATATTTGAAGCTTTAACTTTCTGTGTCCAGCAACTAATTACAGAGAGTAATGCACAAATATTGTCTGATATATAATCTGCATCAGTAGTCGAAAATTGAGGATCTGTGTCACTAGTGAGAACAAGAAACAGTCAACATCTGCATTATACTAATAATGCTTTTGCATTTCAAAACATTATTAAAACATAAATGTCCGCATAATTTGTTTGCTACTGTCATGAATGTACATTTTACCTAACAAAGTGCATGCTAATGCAAAGTTGTTTTGTTTTCAGAGTGATTATGTTGCATTACCATTAATTCATGTGTGCACTATGACAAGATGTAATGGCATATCGTGTTGCTTTAATGTAATGAATCCAGTACTCCCAGCTCTTAAGTCGTGTTGCTGGAAATGATTACATAAAACAGAAATGACTGTGACTAAAACCCTTGCAAAGCTTTAGAACTCCTGCACATTATAAGAAGCTTTTTTGGGGGTTTAAAGTAACTTCGTAAAAATTTACTGAAAGCTTCCCTTGGTAATAGTTTTACTCTTTTCTGACTGTTTTTTGCATTCCACTGAAATTTGCATTATCTTTTAAGCATTGCAAGGGCTGTGCTATAATTTTGTGCAGATGTGTATGTTAAGTGAACATGATGTGCTTATTTGTTACATTTATGCTACTTTTCTTTCTTTATCTGGGTAAGATGGATGAAATTATGTATTAAATAAAAACATCAGCGATTTAGCCATGACCATTCTCTGCAGGTCCTGTAAGACTGCAAAGATTGCTTTTAGAACGAAGGTGGTTGCAGAGGTTTCTGGGTATCCTCTAAATCTCAAAAGTGTAAAACTCATTCTCTCTAAACCAGCTAAATTTCACTCTGTTCTGACTCTCCTAAGACTCTGGCAGCTTTTATCTGAGTTGATGTGCCTTGAACAGAAAGTTCACCATTCACTCAGACACTCAACATTTGAGGAAAATAAGGGTAGTATATCTTATAAGAATGACCTCACATCAGAAAAAACATCTTGTCTTTCCCATTTCCATTTCTGTTAACTTTTCTTGAGGTTTTATCTTTCTAGTAGATAAACATAGCATTTGAACTATTGCAGCATGTTGTTTAGTTCACATATATAGCCAGGAAAGTACCTGAAGGGCTTTCGTTTTTGCACAGATCATTCATGTTCTTATGTTGTGCAGCTGGAACTGTCATTTACAAATTGGGTAAGTGAGATATTTCAAAGATCATACTGAGATAGTTTAACATTATGAAGATCAAAATATGTAAATTAAGGGAAACCTCTTTTTTCCCCCCCGTAGCCATATCCCAGTCTTATTACTGATTATATCCTTTTTTCTGACCTTGAAATGACTCTCGAAGGAAGTTGTTAGGTTGCTTTTTTAATAAGGAAACATTTAACTTTGTTCTTAGCAATGACATTTAAAGATAGAAATGATCGATATAATGCATCACTGTTCAGTCAGAGATTTGTGCTTTATATTGATTTTTTTCATTCTAAGTGCCCTCAGGCTATGTTCATTTGAGTGAAAATGATACCTTGAATATATAACTAGATTCAACAGTATTTTTAAAAACTACATCTGTAATCACTAAGAAATTGCTTTTATTTGGAAATATTTTAATACATAGGTTTTACCAAAACCTAACCTAAAAAGGTGAGAATTTCCGAAATAGAAATATATTGGTTCTGTTAAAGATTTTCTCTTCTGCGTATGTGCACACTGGGCCTTGTTACAGTGCTCTGTTCTGCCTATAAGATACCTTTTACTTCTGAAATATGCCAAAATGCTGATTTTTAGAACATTAATAATTCTGCTGAGGTCGGTGGGACTTCTCATGTACTTAGACTTGGGCACATGTTTAAGCATCATCTTCAGGTGGAGCCAAAATTTTATTCTGAGCAGTAACCATGTTAACAAGTTATTGAAACAACTGTAATTGGTAATGTAAGGCCCAAACCTACCACCCTTGCCTGGATGAGGAAACCTTTTTAATATCAGATAAATACTTTCATTGGGATTTCCGGAGGGTGGGGAAGGCAGAGGAAGGAGCAGGGGGGGGAAATAACTTTCATGAATGGTAATTGAGGGCTCAGGCACCTGGGTTGCATCCTGTTTCAGGCCGGTTTTCTTTCCAGCAGCCTGCACGTAGCGCCGTGCATTCTGATTGCATTATCCACACATTTGACAGTTTTGTACGTAACGGGTTTTTTTTATACATCGGTGGCTGTTCCATGTGGTTGCACTTATTAGCAGTGGAACCCACCCTGTTATCGATTTACAAAGTGAATGTGCTTCTGTGAAATCCTACTGATGAAGAAATGTTACTTGGAGGTACTCGAGCTGAATTTCCATTTGAAGTGAAATAAAGCCAAGTACATGAATGTCAGCAAACTTGTTTATAGGGGTGCGCAGTAAAGCATACATTATTTAGAAGGTTGAGTCATGAGGCTGGTCGTGTTTGTCGTGTTACATCTGGCACGTCAGTCAAAGCTGGGGCAGCTGCCGCCTGTCACTAGTGCTCTGGTGGGGCATTGTCCATCCATCAATGTTAGCAGCCAGCAGCCCCGAGGAGTTTTGTGAAGAGCACTTCGCCTGGACCTATGTGCATTTTCAGTGTTATCATTGCAACCACTTTTAGTGCTCCTTTGAGACCAACAGAAGATGGTTTTGTAGGTGGTCTGATATTTTAGGCTCCTATTAGACAAAATATTTGAGGAGTAGTAGTGTTTTCTTGTTGGTTTATGGAAAATAAAAATTTGTATTTAGTATTATAAACAGTTTTGCATCTGTTTTGATATTTCCAAACCACCTCAAACTACTTTAAAATGTGATGTCAAAAGTTGAAATGCAGTCAATCAAAACAAAATTTACTAAGTCCTGTGAGAACAGCATCATCCACTGAATCCTTATTTTTATTTTTCTTCATACATTGCCACATGAAAGATCTGTATGCGTTAAGAAAATTAATGTGAAAATTATATCTATAGCAATATTAAGTGCAAATATAAGTGTTTGAGTTAACAGTACACTTAAATTGCCATGCTTTGCACTTGAATTCAGTAAAAAAGTGGACGTCCTGACAGCCAATTTTAATGGAAGTCATCCTTTTGGCAAAATTAGTGGACGCTTTGGAGTGAAGAATTGCCCTTGTACTCAAAGATGAATTTTGTGATTTATGGAAAGGTGGATATTGCTTTAATTATGTTCCTTCAATTTATATTTTCTCAAAAATAAATTTGATTTTTTTATTTCAGTGCATAGAACTTTTTATCGCTCACCACCTGCAATAATGTCAGTTGGGTTCCTTGGGTTAAAAAAAAGAAAACAAGACAAAGAAACCCCCACTGTGTCTCCTGCCAAAAGAAATACTAGCCTCGGGTTTTGATAAAAGCACAGCATGTATTTTTGAGGGGGGAAAGGAGGAGGAGTATTGGGGGCTTTTGCTGTCTTACGGAGCTGGAATGTCTCCCACCGCTCCCAAGTGCAGGGCGTGAACCTGCTGGTCAGTGGCTTGTAGTTTACACCTGTTGTAAAATAGGATAAGGACAGGAGGGAGGGATCTATTTAGGAATTTGGAAGGAACGTTTACTTGGACTCTGGAGGATAGGGACAATAACTCTACTTGTCTGCTGTAGTGGAGAACACGCAAAAAGCCATGTGCCTCCCTCTAACAATAAGGGATGTGATAAAGCAGAGTGGAAGAGGCTTATTCATGGTGAGATGCAGAGCAGGGCAGCAGGAGAGATAAATGAAGTGTCTACTGAGAAAAGGAGAATTTGCTTTATTTAGAAGCTGAACTACATTGTACTGTGAGCTGGATCCTCAATTTCATCGCTTTCTATCCATTAAACACTTGTTTTGCATTTTTAAGTCCTTCAGTAAAATACAGACATTTATTCACTGAGAAATAAACATTGTCTAAGGCATCACTACTGCATGTGAAATTTTGTCATCTGTTCTCTGTGCTTCTCAGCGTATGTGCCAACATTGCAGAACTAAAAATCTCAGTAATTGTGTTCTGTTTGGGGGTTTTGGTTTTTTTTTGGTTAGTTTGGGGTTTTTTTGTTGTTTTTTTTTTTTTTTTTAAAAAAGAGATCCCAGATCAAGACATACTTATTTTAAAGTATTTCTTTTCGGCCTTTTTAGATATCAGTCCAAATTTGTCTCAATCTGCAATGTGTGTATGTAACAATAGGGAAGGAAGAGGGTGTTTGTGTTGTGTGAATTACTTTGACTTGGTCATTCCTTACTTTCTGAAAAACTAACTGTTCTTAACCATGAAGTTCATAGACAAGAGGATTTTATTTAGTTTTTCTTATTCGTAGTTTTGGTTAAAGACTATTTCTATTAATTTAATATTTTAAATGTTAGTTGTTGTTTTACTAAATTGCCATTCATTTTAACTTCAATAAGAGTAACTAAAAATAACAGTATTATAGAACTCGCATATTTCTAGGGAACTTCTGTGGTAAGATAAATCTTTCAGTCATAATCAGATTCAGTTTTAGCACAACATAAATCTTCTGTTTGAGACGTGATTTACATGTTGCAATTTTGCATCTAGTTTTGTAGCGTGTTCCAGGATATACATGTATACAGAGAGACTCAAAATTTCCATGTTTGTCTCGGATCAGTGATGAGTCGAGAGGATACAAACTTGGGAAACTATTTGTTCACTGTTCATTTTTTTTATCAGAAGTTTTGTTCATGCATCAGTGCAAAAGTAATTAAAACTCCTAGGTATAGCAAAGGTTCAGTTCCCACTGAAGGATGTTACAAATCTCTCTCTGTATCTTTGAACTTCGCAGGTTTTTATCTTTCATTGGAGGAAACGCAAATGACATAGGAAAATCAGATATGCAGGAAAAAGTAAATGCAGTAATTCAAAAGGAAGGGCTGGAAGGCACAGCCAAAAGGCTAAACACAACGGTGCACACACTGCAGCTGATCATTGATGGTCTGACTCAGCCTGAAGGCTTTGACATCCGAACAGGTAAACCTTTGTTTTGAAGGTTGTACTCTCAGTTTGCTTGTTCTGCATACCAGTTTTGAACAGCACTTTTTCTTCTAAAGTCAGTAGTGGATTATTTTCATGGACATGTAACTCTATTTCTTTTCTCGGACAAGGTAAAGGCTATATCATAGTCAGATGTTTCTTTCCAGCTCAGTAGGTAAGGAGTGTGAATCCTGTCTTAAATCATGGCATTTTCAGCTGTAGGAAGGGGAGTGTATGGCTGTTAACAAATGAAATAGTTTCAATATGTTAACTCTCTACCGATTAAATCTGTGTTGACTCTCCATCACAGAGGGGAATGCTGAGAGCAAGCTGAAACAGTAGTAATAAAGGTCTGTGGAGCAGTAGCGTAGTAATGTGTAGTTCTGCTCTTTTATTGCACTGGTTCCTGGAGACAAGTGTAATCGGAGCACATGGCTCATGACCTACCTTGGTTAAAACTTTGCGGTAGTGCTGAACAGTTTGAGGTGGAGGGGAAGAAAGATGAGGTAAGCAATGAAATAAAACATCTGGAGATGCTATTGCTTAATGAAACTTACAGATGGATTCTCTTACAGCAGCAAGAGATAAAGGTAGGCAGCAAAGATGCAGGCTTGTAATAACAAATAATAAACTTATGCTTAAAAAAAAATTGTCACCCTTTTTTGAGTTCATTAGTAGTTTCCTTGCAGATTTTATAAATATTTCCCACTAGTGATCTTGAAAATGTGTATTTTCTATGTCTCCATTTGTTCTGGTGGTCTCGCATCTAACTTACGGTAGGATAAACTATTAACATATGAAGATATAAAAGCAAAAGAGAATCTTCAGTGGAAATACTCATATTCTGCTGATGCAGTACATTCAGTATTACTGTAGACAGACTCTGTCACTGGAGCAGGAAGCCTCGTAGCCTTGTATAGCTGTAATTCATTGCCTTTGCAACCCTGCGAGTGACTGTCAGTGAGGAAATGCATCACATCTAACAGGGCTCAGGCAGGTTGAATGGTTTGTACTCTACCCGGGTTCAAAAAATAATCTTGGTTGAAGATTCAATTCCTTTGTTGTTCCTAGCAGTAGAGATGTGACATTAGGGAATTACAGACAAAGAGTAGCTTTCCTATGTATTCTCTTAAATTTAATTGAAATTCTATGTTGTTTATTTTTCCTGAATGATTTTAGTACAAAGGAAAATGGGAAGAATTATTTGGGGAAAGGGAAATAATAGAATATTTTTAATCATATTATTTTAAATATCTTTTTCTAGCCAAGGTCTTGCAAGGCATTTCTTGCAAGAAATTGTCTTTTTAACATTAAAGTTGAACAGCTAATCAGATAACTGTAATGAATCTGCCAGGATGGGGGGAAAAAACAGATTTACCAACATTTAAAAAGACTTGCATCATTCCTCTGAATCTTCTTGTGCTTATTGCCCTGAATGGCTGTTCAGTTGCTTTTTTCATTGAAGTGCCACTGCGCAGTATAATGTTACAATAAGATTAACCATTTTGGACTTGAGCAATTAGGTACCTTCCTTCAGTAGAAAATTTGATGTCATTCAAAGCCTATTGCTGCATTTGCCAGCTTGTGTACTCGATTGGGGTCTAATCCACAGCCTGGTGAAGTTACAGGCTGATTGATTTCCAGTGCTTTTTAGCTATAAACTTGTTCAGGCTGTACTTTGTTTCTCAAAGGCAAATATAGGAAAATGGTTGCAATCCTGGTTTGGTGATGCTCTGTGTGGAAAATCTCAGTCCTGTTATATCTTGGAAAAGGTAAAACAGCAGTAGGAAAAGCTTGAAAGGGAAGTTGAGATGGCTCAGAAGGGTTTTCTGCAGGAGCAGAAAGTGGCAAGCAAGTAACAAGAGAGTTTAAAAGATCTATCTGTCTCCTTAAATGCAGAATGCAAACTTTTGTATATTGGGATATTACCTGGTTATAATGATGCATGTGTGATTTTTAAGCTGTCAGTGCAAAGAAGCAGTTGATTGTGTGATGTCATGGGGCAGATGAATAGTGCATTGTTGTCTTTTCTCTGTAGTATGTGATGAGACTGAGTATTTTATGTTTAATTTATGTATCTCAAGTAAAAGTCACCTCAAGTCTTTTCTCCCTAGCTCCAAGAAAATTTAAAGACTCTTTCAGTCACTAGCTAATATACTACACGCTTCTGATGCCCCTGTGATAGTTTCATACCACAGAGTTCACTATGCTTATTACTCCAGGAATTGGTGTATTTTAAAGTGATTCATAAAATACAAGAAATCAGTTGTTTATCACAGATGGGTCTTTATTTAAAAAACATAATGAAGCAGTATTTGGGATCTTAGAGCTACCTCGGGATGACTTCTTAATTAGTGGAAATAACACTTAGAAAATAATGCCAGCTTTTACTCCAGTGTCTTATTTTTGTTTCTTGTTTTCTTATAACAGATTTTGATAAACCTGATTTCAAGAGAAGCATAGTCTGCTTTGAAGACTTAAGTGTTGGTACTGTTCTGACTGGAAAAGTTGAAAATGCGACGCCGTTTGGAGTTTTTGTTGATATTGGTGTGGGAAAAGCAGGTTTGATTCCAGTGCGAAACATAACAGAAGCAAAACTTTCTAAAGTGAAGAAGCGAAGAAGCCTGGGGTTAGGTCCTGGAGAAAGAGTGGAAGTTAAAGTGCTTAATGTCGACATTCCTCGATTGAGGATAACGTTGGACCTTATTCGTGTTTTATGAGAGTGTTTTTTTTATGATTGAGCCTTCATTTTAAAGGTTAAGTAACATCAGCAAGGTTCTGCAGATTCAGGCATTTGAAGACAGTGTAGACAATGAACACATTTTGAAACCTGCAGCCTTGCTTCTTTTTCTTTTTTTTTTTTTAATCTAACAGTTTTTGCACATTTCTTGAATCCTTTCTGTTAATAATTGTTAGAACAGTTTATTGGATTACCTCCAAGCAACCTTGTTATTTTGTCTGCAGAGCAAATGAAATTCCAGTGGACTGTCAGACAGATCTCTTATCTGTTCTGTCAGTGCAAGATTTACTGTCTCAATCTTTAGTCAGTACTGCACAAGCAGACACATCTTCTGCTCCCCTTCAAAAAAACAGCCATGCAGTTTGCCTGCTTTCTGGTTGAGAGTCTAAAAGAGGGTACCTAGTTGTAGAAAAAAGTGATCTTTTTAAGTTAGTCAGTGATGACATTGCTTCAAAAGTAGACTGAAAAAAGAGCATCTGCTAATACTATTGACAGTTCAGAAATATTCAGCTTTAATTTATTTAAGCAACATTATTAGCAGGTCTGTTTACCTGTCTTACTGCTTGTTCAGTTATCATTGATTAACACACTTGAATGTACCTTGTGGTTTAAGGAATTTTGCTCAAAGGTGTCAAAAGACATCTATGTTGTTCTATACTTGTGCAAAATAAAAACAGTTCTGGCTCTCTGTTCTCAGTGTACTGGTTCTACAAGTGATTTAACAGTCCTAGTTCTCTTTCTTTCCAACATGTGCTCCATCAGTAACACTTCAGCTTAAGGATGCAGCTTGTGAGGATGCACTTGTCTGACCTTCTGAATGGTATGCACTTTCCTGAGCTTTAATACCAGACTACAGCCCACGGCCGGATGTTGTTCCTGATTTAATAAAATAGTCCTAGTCTGTCTTGGAGTCCTTTAACCTGACATTAATTTTTTTTTTTCCATCTTTGATGTATTTTTATGCCTGTTTTGAGTGGAGAACAATTCTTCAACACTTGTCTTCACACACTATGCTCATGAAGGCATGATTCTCCATAAAAAAACTTCTTGCTGTTTGTAGATGGTTAAAAAGCTTTTCTAGACTTCTGTTTTTAGTAAGAATGCTCATTGTTTCCTGCTAGGAGTGCCTAGCACATGAGGTTTGTTTCTTCCACCTAGAGACTTTTTGTTTTGGTGGTGTTTCAAAGGGTTTACCGGTTTTGCCAAGTTTGCAAAGGATAGGCAATGGTATAGTGGCAGAAGAGCCTCCAGCAACAGGAGATGTATGTGGCCTTTCCAGGGATTTTTTGGTATATTGGATGTTTCTTCTTTTGAAGTCATCAAACTTGCCTGTAACTTGGCAGAAACTCCTGTCTTTAACAGATGAACACAGACAACACCTACAGCAAATGTCGAACACCGTTGATGACAAGGTTTCTAACTGCAAATGTCCAAATAGCTGTTGGCACAGGGACTATATATTACTTAGGAACACGTTGGCATCATTTAATCCCCCAGCTCTGTGCTTTAATTTTCAAAATTAAGAGCTAGCTATAGACAGTGTGTTTTGGAGATTATGGAATCATTTAGCAGATGGAAAAAAGGAGATGGATCTTACTAGGCTAACTGCATTTTTTTTCTACTGAAGAAAAAAAGACCATCCTCTATGATGCGAAGGTCAACACAGCTTGGAGTCATGTTTCTCAGGCCTTTTGAAATTTTCCTATAATACTTCTGCAAAGTAAATTTTATTGGTATGAAATTAGAAACTGTGATACCATGTTACTGTCTTTGAAAGCACAGCTGCAAAGCAAACAAGCTAAGATTATTTTTTCTTCTGAAAGTGATGTGTTCACTGATAACGCTGCAGTACTTTCTGCTATCTCCGTCAGAATTATCTAAGTTTTGTTGAGTGTTATATGTGGTCTCTACAGTATCTAAGCACTTAGTAAATGAACTAAATTTGCTTGGCCTTCTCTAAGAAGGAGATAAACTTGATCTTCTCCTGAAGCTCAATTCAATAGCTAAGAAAGTATTTTCTCTTTTTGTACTATTTTGTTTGTTACTGCAATTAATTTTTTTCATCTTTAATATCATGAGTACCATAGCATTTTCTGCATTTTTATGTGTATCTCATGGATGATCATAAAATTCTCTAAATGAAAGACATCTCCTTGAGACTGGTTTTCTCACTGTTAATTCACAGGAGGCTTCTTGCTTACTCAGAGGACTGACCTCCAAATCAACTTATGTAGTCATGAGCTAGTTTGGTTTCTCCTTAGCAGAACTCAGAAGCTTATTCTGTGGCATCACAGGGACTATTGCAAAATGTCATCTCTATGTCTTTGAATTTTTTTAATCTCACCAAAATAGGAAGTTTATGACTGTTACTGTCTTAAACGTCTGCAGCTCTGCAAATGTAATCCTATTACTTGTCAGCTAATTCAGTGTCTTAACTACTTCCCACAAAAGTATTTTTTCTTTGCAAGTTTTTTTAGGGTTTTTTTTTTGTTTTTTTTTTTTTTTTTACTTTGCCAGAACACAGCCATTATGACAGCCTAATGAGAGTCTAACAAGGATGAATATGTGTTGATACGACCTTCTCTGTTTTTGTCAGATCTTTGTCTGGAGATTTTAAAATTCTTTCTTCTTAATCAGTTTTCCTCTTGAACTCTTGTGGCTTTCAGATTTCTGACATCAAATCATCAAGACCGTTTTCCCTAATTCATCTCCCCCTTTAGTTTCTGAACCAAGAAAAAATTACTGGCTGGGTGCTTTTTCCCACTTGAGATGCTCTTCACAGTGCAGTCCAGTCTTTGGAACAAATTCTGTAGTGCTTAATGGTGATGCCCCCAAGATTTAAAACAAACAAAAATCCCTGCTTCATGCTGACCTTACTTAAATGCTTCCAAGTACAGTTTCTCAGGGGAAGAATTAAATATGAGTCTTTAAGTCTCACTAAAAATTTTACTTTTGCCTTAAGCTGTAGATTCCAAGGCATCTACTCACCGTTCCACCTCTCCACAAGAGAATCCAGCCCATTGATCTTAGCTGACAATCTGCTTTTTTAGTCCCACCCTCACTCAAATAGTCTGGTATTTTGCAATTGCCTTCCTCCGATATGCAAACCCATAAGAAGAGCTTCTAAAGATTTCCTGTGCTTTAGATGTTACACAAAGGAGAAGAATTCTTCCACCAAACAAGATGGCACTTGTATGCCTGGCTGTACTAATGCAAATCAAGAGTTTAAAAGAAGCCATTTGTTTTGGTTTTATTCCTGCCCCAGGCAGTTTTAGACACCATATATCAATTTTCCAGAAACTTGTCAACCTCAGGAATGATTTAGTATGCTGTTAAACATAATAAAATCAATAGGAAAACAAATAGAATTTCCATGAGGAGCAGACGGTTGGAGAAGCTTGTCCATATGGCATATAGACGTGCTGGAATTTGGGGCTTTGTGGGGTACTTGCATTAGAAAAATTGCATACCGAGCAAAGGTAATGCATAATTCAGGAGAACAAATAATCTAACAGCTTTGTAGAAGTGCGTCTTGAACTTGCTGTCTGTATTTATTTAACAACAAACACACTTAGAAACTCTATGCCTGTAAGCTACAAACCAAACATGAATCATATTTGCCTAATTTCAGAGCTTTATATAAGGAACCTCACCCACTCCGAAGTGAACGCCAAGTTCTCGGTTCAGCCCAAATAGTGCCTTTGCTTTTCTAGCCTTCCTGAGGGTGATTTATGTAGCTAATTGGCTTTGCTTAAGGACTATCAGTCCTGTAAGAAAGTGGAGGGAACCAGTTGGTTACGCCAGTCCATGTTACTCTATGTCACTTCCTTCTGTTCAAGGTTTCCTAAAGAGCTGCGAGGGAGTTGTTGTGTCTCTGGGTGTACGTAAGAGCTAGGCAAGTCAGTAACTCCCCTCCTCCCCATTAGAGACCTTCTACAGGTTTGAGAGCACCTCGGTTTACTAGTCCCAACTGTTCTTCAGCCTCCTCACAGGCATGTAGAAGCTGTAAATGGTTAAAGTGTTTCATCTTGAGAAATCCTTGTGAATCCATACTCCATAAACCTTCACAAATAACTGATATGTCTGCATTTCTTACAGCAAACCTCAGTGACTAGTTTTTAGAGAACTTTGGTTGCCTGTTTCCAGTTGAGCCTCTAAATGGTCCCTTCAGTGGATATTGCAACAGTATCCTGGCTACAGGTACCTCCCGCCAGGAGGCTGTTGAAGCATGCTGCTTACTCAGAGGTGTCTCTAGGAGCTTACCAGTTGCTTCCATCTAATCCATGTTGGAACTTTGAGTGGTTGGGTGTTTTTCCAGATGGACATAAATGAGTCACTTGTGACAGGTCAGCATGTTCTCATAAAGTTTTTCTGTGGCTGATGGCAACTTCCAGAGAGCTATAGTTGAATAGCAGATCATGAGAAGTCTATGTATTCCACCACAGACTTTACTACAGCTTCTGCAACTTGATCAACAAATTTCTTCAGTCTGGGAAGGAGCAGTACTGGAGTATTGCTTCTGTGTGAGCTTGTACAACAGGGCTTGCTGCTGTTAATCAATCTGCTGAGTTTTATGCTGCTCCTATATCTGTTAGGTCTCATCTGGGCATGTTCTAGCTGCATCAAGAATCCTAAGAGATTCTCCACTCTTGGGAAGTGAGTGAGGACAGGTGGCTGTGCCCAGAGCGGAATGACTGATCCCATTGAGAATTTTAAGTCTAACTAAAAGTTCAGAGTAAAGCACTCGAATCCCATCTCACCTGCTCTATGTCCCTGACTAGGAACCAATAAGCTTTTGAGATTGGCCTGCTTACTCCTTGTTTCACTGGTTAGAGCTTTTATCTTATTCGGCTGCTTCTAGAATTGAAGAAGATTAAGGCATGCTCAACACAGCAGTCCAAGTAATATCACTGGAAATTTTTGTTTGTTTGGTCTCCCTCTCTTGTTCTTCTCCACAAGGAGCAACAAAGAAGGGAACTT